AGCACATAGCAGTCCCCGGGGACGCACGACCTCCAGCGCATGGAACACCCTGGGGACGTACGGCCTTCAGCACTACCTCCGTTAGCCAGACGTTCGTCTCCCAGACCTCGTCTGCCACATTTCCGTCAGCCAGACGCTCGTCTCCCACACCTACGTCTGCCACATCATCAGCCAGACGTTCATCTCCCAAACGTTCGTCAGCAAGAGGGAGCTCACAGAGCCAGACTTTCATACTACATACGAATGTAATCAGTCCAATAGAGGCCTCATTTTGTAATGGGCCTCCCAAGCCCAAGACTTGGGAGCCCAACCCATATTTTCCCTATAAATACTCCCCTTGGGAGTAGTTGTAAGGGTTCGAAAATCATTCATACAAATCATTTCTCTCTCTAGCTCTCACTTCTCTCTAGACATATAATCTATCTTTGTTGTTCCTGAAAGTGAAAAAAGCGAAATCGAATTCGATGATGAATCGGATGATGAACTCCATGAATTCCAAAAGCAACTGTCGCTCTTGACTTCAAGGCTCAATAATCGGATCTTTAAGAAGAAGAACTCTTAATCTAATCGGCTTCACTAGTTCTCAACCAGCTCCAAGCGGAAAGAGCGCCCATTTGATACATCCGAATATGTGGATGCTGAGGATGACCCTAATTAAATGCTTCAACTGTGGAAAGCTAGGGCATCTCATCAAGGATTGAAGGCTACCGAAAAGGAGGAAGGATGCTGATTACTACAATCAAAAGATCAATCTAAACAAGAAGAAAATGTTGGTGGCTATGGGAGACAATGAGAGTAAAAGTGTTTTGATGGCTAAAAAAGATCACTGGATGGATAACTCATCTGATGATGAAGAGAACTTGGCGCTGATTGCCACGGTGAAAAAAGAGAAGGAGGAAGTTAAGGTGACTACCCTTGCTGCTGAGCAGGGGCGGATCCCTGTGTGGGTAGGGGTGGGCTCTAGCCCAACCCAAGTTTTATTTTTTTAATTAGTATAGGTATAAATTTAATGTCCAACCCTTCCCAAAATTAATTCTCAGCCCGCCCCAAAATTAATTCCCAACCCAGTCCTACCCAGGCCTATTACTAACTATTCCACTCAACTACTCAAGCAAACCTGTCGCTAGAAGTGCGGAGCTGCAACGGAGCTACGGAGCACGAAGGTCAAAGAGGGAGTAGCAGAACTACGACGGAGACACCAAAGATGAACATCTGTCGAGCCGACGCCCACCGCCCATCGTCCACGTGTCCAGGGCCATGCATCGGCCGTCTTCCCTCTCCGGCTCTCTGAGTCCGACTCTACCATGTCCCCTGCGGCTCTTCCTCTATCTCCGTGTATACTCTAAATTCTGATACTCTTTTACACTTTTTTTTCTTGATTAAACTTGGTATTATTTGTTAAACATTGCATTATTTGTTGAGCATTGTATTAGTTTGTGAAACATTGTTAATCTATTTGAATATTCGATGAACAAAGGGCTTGGAGCGATTGTGTCATTGTGTTTTATATGTGAAACATTGTATTATTTTGTGACTGTGTAATTATGTATTATTTTTTAGTTTTGTAAATCTACTTGATTATTAATTTAATAATCAAATATGATTATTAATTAGTACATAATAAAATAGTGTTTATTCATTATAAATTTAGGAAAATTTGACAAGAATAATCCCACCTTTCCCTGGTCTTCTCATAATAATCTCACTTTTACGTAATTCCAGAATAATCCCACCTTTGCACCCCATCTTCTTTCATTGGACCCTTACCTGTTGATGACCTACTATATCAGGTTTTCTACTCTTTCTTTGAAAACCTTATATAAATAATCCCACCTTTCACAAAACTGCTCAAAACGATCCCATGATTCATTTTTTCTTTTTCTCCCTAAAATTTTTCTTTCCTTATTTTCATCACTAGACACTTTTCATTCCTTTTTCGATCTTTTTTCTATCCTTCTGTTCTTATTTCTTTTCCAGTTTTATTATTCTATTTATTACTCTATTAGGAGATTTTATTTTGTAAAATTTCTATTCGAAATAGTTCTTTTTTGTCGTTTTCTTTTTCTTTCCGTATTTTATTTCATTTCCCTCTTTATGTTTTCCTTCTTAATCATTCTCTTCTTATTAAAGATCTTATTTTAACAGTGAAAATATAAAAGTGGAAAAGTGAAAATTAAAAAAAACATAATAAAAAGTAAAGTGAGAAAAAGATCTTTAATAAGAAGAGAATAGTTAAGAAGAATAACATAAAAGGGAAATGAAATAAAAATACAAAAAGAAAAAGAAAATGACAAAAAAGAGCTATTTTGAAGAGAAATTTTACACACACAAAAAGAGCAAGAGAATAATAAAAGTGAAAACGAAATAAGAACAAAATGATAGAAAAAGTAATAAAAATGGTCTAGGGATGAAAATATAGTATTGGATAAGAAAGAAAAATTTTAGGGAGAAAAAAGAAAAAATGAAACATGAGACCGTTTTGAGCAGATTTGTGAAAGGTGATATTATTTATATAAGGTTTTCAAAGAAAGGGTAAAAAACCTGGTATAGCAGGTCATCAACAGGTCAGGGTCCAACGAAAGAAGATGTGGTGCAAAGGTGGGATTATTCTGAGATTACGTAAAGGTAGGATTATTATGAGAAGACCGGTGAAAGGTGAGATTATTCTTGTCAATTTTTCCATAAATTTATAATGATTAATGAATAGTTTTTTTTTCAAAAAAAAAACGATTAAAGACAAAATTAAAGATTAGAGAATGATTTATTTATTATACGATTAAAAATTAGAGAATAATTTATTTATTGTGTGGACATGTAAGAAATAGTTAAAATTTTCAATTGAATTTTGAAATACTAGAATCTTTAAAAATCATTAATAAATTTATAAAATCTCACTAAAAATGTTTAAATTTAAAGTTATATACGGTTTAATTTATTCCTATAATTTATACCGTATAAGTTAACAATAGATCGAACCCGGATTGAACCGAACATCATTAAGCTCAAACTCGGCTTGAATAACTATTCAAATTGAAAATCTAGCCCGTTTTCGACTTCGAAGCTTGTTAAGCTCGAGTCGTTAAATTAAATTTGAAAGCACGCTCAAATTCGAGTAGTTCGAAAAAAGCTCAGTTCGATAACAACCATAAACTAAACATTTTGTGTGTAGTAACAAATGTTTTTACTACTTAGCCCACCCCACCTCTCATTGCTGGATCTGCCCCTGCTACTAAGAATGAGGACTCGAACGACGCTGTAAGTAATTTTAATTCCTCTGATTCACCTTGCTCTAACCCTGATCATAATCATATAATTAAGGAGCTTGAAGGGAGACTGGAACATAACTACAATGTTCTAGTCAAACAAGGTCACGAAGACTCAAGGTTTGACCGCCTAGCGAAGATGGCGGCGTTGCAGGGACAGGCGATTCTATGGAGTTTCGATTTCTCTTGATGTATGTTGCGTTGTTCGATGTTCGATGGATGCTTTGCTAGGAGCGAAGAAGGAGACGACTTTCGCCGGGGGAAGATGGGATGACAGGAATTGTACTATTCAGTATGTTTTAAATGGGTCATTTTTTTGAAAATGTAAACGTTGTCATATTTTAGGAAATGAAAACTCTAGTGGTAATATAAGTGTCATTTTTTCAAATAAGAAATACAAATGTCAGTGAATGAGAGAGGAACTAAAAATGAGAACGAGTAAGTACAAATATTATATCATTATTATTTGTATATATAAATGTAATATTAGTAATTTGAAAATAGAAACTTTATTTTTACATCGAATTTGAGCTCGAGGCTCGAGCATCTTATTTTTTATAGGCTCAAACCTATAAAAAATATTTAGCAAAACTTGACCTGAGCTTGATCCGAGCTCGAGCTAAGCTCGGCTCAATTTCAAACTCATATTATTTAACTCGTCCAAGCTCGAGCTCACACTCAAGATCATGAATTCTTATCGAACTCAAACTCAAGCATACCCATGTTCAAGCTCGGTTCGGCTCGTTTGTATCCCTACTTCACTACTGCCGTGAACACAACGTTATTCTTGACTTTTCAAACATTCATCCCCTAGCAAGTAACAACTACCCAACTAGCCCATGGCAGGGATTCGAGATGGGACGGCCCCGTTGGTGTTGCCATAACAAAGTGAGATGACTTTTAAGAAACATATATGTGGCTGATAATGTAGTGGTCGGAGGAAGTGCCTCTAAACATTCATAGATCAATTATACGGGGTATTATTTGAGAGAAACTGGCATCCGTTATTTTCATTTTCATTTACCCCGTGCCGCAAAGGTTCCCACCTACGGTGAGATAAGGGGGATGGTGCCGCAAAGGTTCCCACCTACGGTGAGATAAGGGGGATGGGATGTACACAGTCTTACCCTTGTACTAAAGCACAGAGAGACTGTTTACGGATGACCCATACTGAAAATCGTGTCCAAAATTGCATGGATTGACGGCTGCTCCATAACAAAGAAGCGCAGACAGTTTAGTGAACCATTTTGCTTTATTCCATCATAATCTCAAGTCAAAATATAATTAATCTTTGGCTTCATTGTAAATGATGGAAACCAGAAACTGGCATCCGTGATTTGAGAAAAAACCATCAACCAAGCCACAGTCATGACCATTTTTTAGGAAAAGCTTAACATAATTAAGTTGGGACACGTTCAATACTACATGACCATTTTTTCTTCATCATGCTTCTTATTCTTTAGGTTGAACTACCGATTGATACAAACGCTGAAAAGAGAACCCCAAATGGATTCTGTATATTCTAGCATCCACCAAACAAAAGGAAAAATGCTAGAAGTACAAACACATTTACAAAAAAACTTACAAACAAGTGATGTGGCTATTCTAATGACCATTGATGTAAAAGTGTTGTAAATGTGATGTGATGTGTTAAATAATGTGATGATACCACATATCCTTTTTGTAAGACTTTTTGTAAAAGTTTTTGTACCTCTGACATAACTCAAACAAAAGTACTTCGAAAGGAAAGTTGATCAGATTTCTTTGATTCTTTGAAAATGGTGGAGTCAAAGGTAAGTTTGAAGAGGACGAAATACTTCGTACATGTTGGTATTGTAATTAATATATTGGAATTCTATGTACAAAACAAACCATTAAACCCATTCGTAAATCCAGAATTATGACATTCATGAATGAATTACTTTACCAGCGATCATCACAAGAGCAGTTACCGTTCAGGAAGAGGTGAAAACCCGAACTGTCTCTTACACGAATCTCTCTCTTAGTGACAATGGAAGCAAACTTGAAAAATGTATGACAGTCCCCACAGAGAAGGATGTTCTTCATGACAGGGACAGGTGTACCAGGTTTTGACATTAGAAGGCCATAAGTGACAGCCAGCTTGGAACTGTGATACAATAAGAAGTTTTTCTTCTGATACTCTTCCACTTCATGGAGAACATAGCTGGTATCAGGAACATATCCGGCTTTCATACATTCCAACAACAATATCTCCAGTCCACTGTATATGTCTTTAGACTGTGAGTGTGATTTGTCCCTGGCTAAAAAGAAGTTAAGCCTATTGTCATGGTTGATCCAGCTCCGGCCCGGAATCTTCTGGAACCCCTTCCCCTTCATTTCTTCCCTCACAGTTTCCGAGCATTTCCATCTTCCAGAAGCTGAATATAGATTTGATTTCAGTATGAACGTAGACGGATCGTGTGGCTCAATACAAAATAACTTCTTCATGACCCTTCTTCCAATTGTTAGATTCGAATGTATTCTGCAACTATCAAGCAAAGCACGCCAAACAGAAGCATCTGGCTCAAAGGGCATCCTTTTGATAATTTCCTCTGCTTCGACTAGAGCACCCCAGTGACCTAATACGCTTACCAAACATGCATAATGATCTGATCCCGGGATCACACCATAGGCAGATTCGATTGAGAAGAAGAAGCTTTGGCAGGTATTAACTAAATTTTTTGTAGTGTATCTATAAGCACGAAGAACAAGGAGACAGGTAAAGGAGTCTGGAGCTATTCCTAGTGTTTCCATTTGTGCCCATGTGTCCAAGGCTTCATCTCCCTGCCTGTGAAGGGCATACCCAGCTAACAAGCTATTCCACGAGACTAAATTACGAGTCGACATCAGCTGAAATCCCTTGACTGCATCCCCTAATTCTCCACATTTAGCATACATGCTGATTATGGCATTCCCAACAGTTACATCACCCATAAACCCACTTTTCATGGAATAACAATGGAGATTCTTACCCAAGTTGTGCAACCCTAGAGTTCCACAAACACCAAGAACAGTAGCAGACGCGACCTCATCAATAACTAGTGATAACATCATTTCACAAAAAAGTGAAATAGCTTCTTCTGGTTTCCTGTTCTGAGCATATCCACAAATCATTGATGTGAGATCGAATTTGTCGTGCTCCTTTGGCATTGTGCAAAATATCTTCTCAGCATCTTCCATTCTCTCACAACGGATACACATGTTAAGCAATGCTGACTGGACATGAAGATTGTTTGACCCAAGGCCAGATTTTAGAATAAAACCATGGATCTGTTCACTTAAATCTCTTTCCATTATCAGCCCACATGCATTTGCAAGGCTGGCTAAGGTAAAACTTGACAACTCTAGAGTTTTTTCTATCATTCTACAAAACAAATCCACTGCTTTCAAGCCTTCACCGTTTTGACAAAATCCAGCTAAAAGGGCGTTATATAAAACCACGTTCTTCTCGGGCAATTGATTGAAGAGTTTCTCAGCCGAATCAACAAGACCTGATCTCATATATGCCGTGATCATTTCGTTCCAAGTAAAGACATCTTTCACAGGCATCATCTCAAACAAATCCATAACATTATTAATGTTTCCACACCTTGTGTAAAACTTGATAAGTGCATTATTCACACTCATGTTGCCTTCATACCCGATTCTAAGGGCATGGGCATGGAGTTCTTGACCTTTGCTCACCGCGGAACACTCAAAGCATGCAGTCAGAAGAGTTGAGAGTGTGATACAGTCAACTCTTAAAGAGTCGTTTTTTTGCATATCACTGAACATTTCAAATGTTCTGTCAAACATAGACTCCTTAACCATACTCGAGATCACAGTGTTCCACGAAACAGTGTCACGTTTGGACAAACTATTATCAAACAATTCAATGACGAAATCTAAACTGCCACACTTACTGTACAGTCCCATAAGAGCATTGAAAACATGAATGCAACCCAAATAGCCCATTTTCATCACTAAAGCGTGAACTTGAAGACCCAATTCCAATTTATGTGAACGAATGCAAGCAGTCAACAGTGCAACAAAACTATACTCATTGGGTTCAATGCCTGAGCTCCTCATCTCAAAGAAGAGTTCCATAGCTTCCCTTTCACGATTAAATTTTGCTAAACCCGATATCAAGGCTGAGTATGATTTTATATCCGGGTGGATAATAGAATCAAACACGTGGTGAGCATGATTGACAAGACCCAATTTCAGATAAGCGAATATCAGAGCATTGGACATTTGGGTGTCCTCTTCAAGTTTAACGACCGCGGCATGCACAATTGTAGTTATATCAACATCACCCTTACGAACGGAAAGCTTGAGCAAATCAGCGTAATCAATGGTGTGCGGTTCAGAGTGTCGTAAGAGTGACGAGTTAACCAGGGGGGCGGAATTGAAAAGGGTTTGTTGGATTGACAGGTGATTGGATTTCTTTTTCTGCTTTATCACAGAGTGGGATGAGATCGGCGGAACTTGCTGGCAGAGAAAGGCAGAGAAATGGTGATGGTTTAGAGTGCTAGCATGAAGAGAGGTGGTGGCGGGGATTACCGTACGGGGAGGGTGATTACTGCCGGCCATGAAAAGTAAGGGCGCGGAGCATCAGATACCAATGTATCTCTATACAAGGAGAAGTGGAAAAGCAAGTGGATTTCCCGTCCAAACAATAGGTTGGGTGAGCTTCCAGAAAACGTTTGCTTTGTTGGTGAGAAAACAATACTACGCATTAATACATTTAATGCTCAACTAAGGGGTTGCTTTGTGCATCCCAAAATTTGTTGGACAAATTTAGCCTTCTTAAATATTAATTAAAATTAAGTAAAATTAAAAAGTTAACTGGAATTGCTTTGCGCGCCCTCCTCAGCTCACGCTCGGCTCAATTCTTCTTCTCCCTTATTCATATGAATTTTGCATTAAATATACATCCAATTAAATGGTGCCGTGTGGCAAGTAATTCTTTTTTTATAAAATGTCATAACTTTTTCATTTTTGCTCCAATTTTTATAAAAATTATACCAAATTAAATATCTTTTTATGATCTTTCATATGACATAAATATTATATATGTAATTTTAAAAAAAAATCTGGTCAATTTTCGTGAAAGTTCAGATCTGATTCTATTTGTTTGAATCTATCTGGTTCGAAATCAGTTCAATTAAAAACATCCTAAATACCATTCACACCATAAATCTAGTCATGTAACATATGCGACCGTAATGTGGAATCAACATGGTGCTGATGGAGTTTTAAAAGGTGGGGCCTCCACGTTTGAAATTAGTCAAGCAAATAAAAAATGAAGATAATTAGTTTACTAGAGTTAACAATGTTACTTATTCAATTATATAATCTAATATAGAACTTCCAAAAAAATATAATACGAAGTATAGAATTGCGCAAAGTTAAAAACAAAACATTTATGTTTTTAATTTTATAATATATAAAGTTTAAATCAATCATCCAATACAATTGTAACGGGGTCTCTTATAACATTACGACATTCTGTAAACTGTTTAATTCGATGAAGAAGTGGAGTATCCCATCCTGTAACACTAGCGTCGTGATAGTAAGACCATGTCAAAATCACTGGTGGCAACGGAGCATTGTCGTCAAGCCAAATCTGTGCATCAACAGAAGTTATCATTTTATGCATATCATATGGTAATGTGAAAATAAAAAAAGGTAATGTGAAAACAAAATGGAACTATAAAATATTATTTGCTTACAGCTATGTAGTGTTGTTTGGAATGAAGCCGAGCAATGCAAAAAATTGTCTTCGGAGGACTACTACCAGGAGGAGCAATCATGGGCAAACAAGTGACTGGTTCGTGGAGGTCAAGATGCACTACAATAACCTGGTATAACGTTGCAAAGATCAGCCCTGTGTGCGGCATGTGTATCCAATGCCGTGGTGGTGCAGGACTGATGTAGTAGTCTATTTGCTCCCGCAAGTCATCAATAGTGTCAAGAAGGCATATAGGATCATACAACCCACGATGACGATCTAGTTCTTCCACTAACTCTCTTCGAACTCTAATCCATTCGTTTTCTCCCCATCCTAAAAGCTCTGCAAATGAGCGATATCCGCAATGTCCATCTCCAATAACGTCCACAATTTTACTAATATGCTCAAGCATGAATGTCTCAACATCATTACCGAAATTAAATTGCATTCGATTTTGATTCCGTTTACTATCCTTGCCACGTCCACGAAACCCATGATGTGATGTGGTACCTTTGGATTTTTTGGATTTTTTCTCAGTGTACTCCCACGCGCTTGGGTCTCGAGTGGTTGATTTTTTTTTGGGCCTTCCCTTCGTTTCATGAATCGGTGGCTCTTTCATAGTATTAAGTTTTGGATTTTTCATCTCATTCCATTTTGCATGAAGTCTTTTTTTTCTTGTGCTGACATAAGACCTGATTGAAACTCATCAACTATTGTTTTTAGGACCACATCATCAACACTTATATCATCGGCCTTGTCATTCTCTTGTTCTTTATTTACATACCATTCAACTTTTCTCCAAAATTCATGTACCATTGATGGATGTAGTGGACGATTATCACGAATACAAGTTGCTAGCTCGTCTGGACATGGTAAACCATAACACTCCCTCCACCAATAGTCATTGCATGTTGGATCATATTTTCCTTCTATGACCTCATCATGCATCCTTATTAACTCCTTCATGCACTCATTTGACACCATGTACTGAAGCTGACTAAGTGTCCAATACCGTTGGAATGGTGCAGCGTGACAACTCTAAAGATCCCTTCACTTCATCCAACTGATCATTCAGTAAGTTGTTTATCTCCGCAAAAACATTGTCAAAACCCTTAACAGATGTGGCTAATTGTAGCTTTAACATTGCATGTGCAGATTCCACCCTGTAGCACAAAAGTTAATGAAATAAAACTAAAGAAATTATTCATATTTTTTATAAAATATCGATTTACCTATTAGTAGTTCTTGTGCCAAAATGCATGACATGGTCGGTCCACACTCTCACTAAACGATCTTTGTACAGGTCTAACCAATTTTCAGTAAGATATCTCATCAGGCCCCAACTGTGTTTCCATTTCGATCTCATATGTTCCAACTGCTCCTCATATTGTTCAACAGTTGTTGAACTAAACAACTTCATGCATCCTTTTGAAAAGGATGTTTGAACCGTCTTCATGTTGCTCAATTTTAAAGCTTTATCTTCTATGTTACGCTTGACATGCACCATGCACAATAAATGCTTGGATTCTGGGAAAACTTCACTGAGTGCTTTTATCAAACCTAACTCTCGGTCAGTCACAATGGCTAATGGTGAACGAGGACATATTACCTTTAATTCATTTAAGACCCACATGTAATGTTCTGCGCTTTCGGCTCCCATCCACGCAAATGCAACAGAGAATGTCTTCGACGTACATGTAAATCCCACTATTTCTAGAAACGGCATCTTGTATCTGCCATAATTAATCAAGTATGTTACATGTGTGTGTGTGTGTGTGTGTATATAGATAGATAAGAGATCAAATACAAACCATCCTTAAAATACTAACCTACAAACTCAATAATATGCATCACTTTAAACTTCAATATGCAGTAAAAATAATTAAATATGCAGGGGTGGGATCACATACAAACTAGTCCTCTCATCCAAATCATCTTTACATTATTTGTATTGCACATTGAGGTTCAAAGTGTTTCATATTATTCAAGCCATAAAATAGCAGTTTCATATTTACATTATTTGTATTGCATATTGCAATTCAAAGAGTGCATCTTTACATTATTTGTACTGCATATCGAAGTTCAAAGTGTTGCATATTATTGAGTTTGTAGGTTAGTAAGTTAAGCATGGTTTGTATGTGATCTCACCCCTATATATATATATATATATATATATCATTTGCACGAATGAATAATTATAATTTAGATGAAAATTGTTTACCTGTTTGTCTTGTATGTTGTGTCCATTATGAGAACATAAGGAAAAAGGCTCAATAATTGTAGTGAATCTCGATGCGCGAATATCATGTCCTGTAAATCTTCACTCCCTGGTACTAACCTATTAGCCTCAAAGTAATCATATTTTGAAATCAAATGAAGTAATTGTTGCATGACAGTACGTCCATCCTTCCATTCCTTCTTAAGCTTACATCTTGCGTTATACACCTGCTTTCTAGATGTAACATTATCGGAGTTCGCCATTTTTAAACTTTGGAGAATTGGCTTAGGCTTGCACTCCGCCTCTGATAAGTCTCTCACCAAAGATATCTCATGCTTTGTCAATTTGCCAGCAAATGTGTGACCCAATAAGCTCGTTGGAATAGCGTGGTTATGAAATCCACAATTAACCTGCAATTGCCATAAATTCCGCTCCACTTCCCTCCCATATAATGCAAAAGGACAATCAATTTTCTTTGTTCTCGATGCTATATTTCCTTTGTCTTGTTGCACCCCTTGTGCTTTGACTTTTTTTGCAGTTCGATACTTACCGAATTTTTCACACGCGAGAAGTACATTACCAAGTTTTTGGGAATTACTTGGCCTCGATTTTGCAATATGATGGATAGTGTACCCGGGGGGTAGCTTATCCGAGGGGTTATTGCGGAGAATAACTAGAGAGAAGTCAGAGCAAACAAGTAAGAGAGAGAGTGTATATTCGATATGTATTAAGCGTGGTTTACAATGGGGGAAAGGGGTGCTATTTATAGCAGTAATAAATGCTAGATAAGGACACGTGTCAGTTTTCTGGTGGTCGAGGGGTCACCTCGACCGGGGTGGCACTGGCACTCGCATGTGGCCGCATTAAATGCGGTGGTTGGATGTGACGTTTGTACTTGGTACGGTGATCCAGGCGCATGTGAAGAGGATATTCTGTCGAGGTGGATGCCTTCGGCTGAAGGGTGCTGGGCCGAAGGCTCTTCTAACCGAGGGCTCCTACCCGCCGAGGGCTGCAGGTGCCGAAGGCTTGGTTTTCAAGCCTTGTTCTCCTGTGATGCCTCTTCTAACCGAGGGCTCCTACCTGCCGAGGGCTGCAGTTGCCGAAGGCTTGGTTTTCAAGGCGTGTTCTCCTGTGATGCCTCTTCTACCCGAGGGCTCCTACCTGCCGAGGGCTGCAGTTGCCGAAGGCTTGGTTTTCAAGCCTTGTTCTCCTGTGATGTTTCTAAGCTCGATTCCGTCACTGGTAGCCTTCGGCCATAGGGCCGAAGGCACCCCTTTGCGTATTGTGGGCTGCTTAGAGCTCCATTTTGCTGGGCTTGGCCCGTTTGGGCCTATTGGGCCTGATTGTAGTAGAGGAAGTATGTGGGCCGGGGGTCCCTGGGCCATATACTCCATCAGGAGTCCCCCACTCCTTTTGCCGAAAGGTACTTGAGGGAAAAGGAGTAGCTGTGGTGATTTCCCCGAAGGCTTCCCTGTTCTGTTGGGTGCCTCATTTTCTCAACTCCCCCATATGTCGAGGGCTAAGAGCTTCCTGAAGGGAGTGTAAGTGTGTTGCTCGTATGTGTTTCTTTGTTGTAATTTGTAAAGTAATGAGAGATCTGCATTTGTGTGCTTTGCCGAGGGCATTTGTTGACTGAAGGCTTTGCGTGGCCGAAGGCATCATGTGACCGGAGGCATCATGTGGCCGAAGGCATCATGTGGCCGAAGGCATTGTGTGGTCGGAGGCATCATGTGGCCGAAAGCATTGTGTGGCCGAAGGCATCATGTGGCCGAAGGCATTGTGTGGCCGAAGG